CCGTTGATTCGAAGGTGGGAACTGGAAAGTGGAATGCCGAAAGCCGAGAGATATCAACCACGTCATTAGTAAATACATATCATCGCCCATCGGCGGCTACAACAGTTGTTACTTGTTACCAACTTAAAAATTAGCGTACTAATGAATAACTACAAGTCTACAACAGGAGTCAAACCATGTATACATCAAATTTCACTTGTTACCTCCTGAAAGGCTCATGCCGCTTCATATTGACATAGCTTCAGGCCTAATAAATTGATAGCCTGATATCCTGCTCAAGTTCGGTTTGCGATCACAAACTACAAACAATTTGCAGCCTCGGCGCCTCGCATGTCGAAGGATGAACGACGACCGACGATCGACTCTCTTTGTGTTGCACAAGAGTAAATATGTTAATTACTAAATATGTCTCAGACTTGAATGAGAGTTGTGTTTGATCTCTCTCATCCAACAGCGGATAAACGTTCATCCAATATAAAAGTTTTTCGCGAACACCCCAAATTTTAAATTCAAACAATGACAATATAATACATAATTTGAATATCCTCAAGTCCTCAACAGCTGATTCGGTTTCCAGAAATAAGCTCATCAGTCACGGAGTCACCTCCAGTCAATTCTGAATTCTGTTGCCTCTTGAGTCTTAAGCCTTGAAGTCTTGAAGTGTGTCTAACCTTTATTTTGTTTTAAATGAAAAAAAAACAATTGGTCTAACAGATGCTATATATATATTTTTGTCTATAATCTCTAAATATTATTATTTTGTTTGATTTTTTCACAAAACAACTTGTTGTCGGCATGTAGTGTCGCTTGAGAGTTGAGAGTTGCGTATAAATACTCACTGTATAATATACTGTGTACTGTATTGACTCTATGGAGTATGGAGTATATATATTTTAATACTGTAAACTAAATATCAAAATAACTGATTATTTGCTGTTCGTATGTAAGTTTTCAAAACCGGTATTAATATTTATAGCCACCCCTTCCAAGCCACACTTTCAAAATCTTATCAATCAAATTGGTGTATTTTAAAGTACGTATCTTGAAGGCAATGGAAGAAAGCTATGGCTTTGGCAGTAAATAACTTTATATAGCACGTTTCAAAAAAAAAAAATGCTTCTTATATAATTCTATTTTTTTGTATTTTAAAAAATATAATAAAAAACTAACAGCCCTATAGATTCTCTAGTTGTTTCCATTGGTTAATCGATGACACGGTCGGGAATATTGTGTCACCGCAATAGCCATATTTATTTACACACTTATTGATTATTTATAAAAAAAATACACAATTTTAAATGTTGTTTTAAAAAAAACAAGAAAAACAAACCGATTCATACCATTTCAGGACATATTTGTAATATCCCACATGGTGACAGAGTAAGTCCAACTTGGGGTATAGGTCACATCTGAAATTTAAAGTTTTCCATCGCCTCGACTAATTTTGGACAACTCAAAAGTCTAATATGTACACCTCATAATATATATTTTTATATTTTTATCAAATAAGAAAAAAACAATTACACTCCGTTTCCTCTCTCAGACTCTCGGTACCCCGTGCCAGTCGGTGGCAAGTGGCAATTGGGCAGTCTGCAGTCTGTAGATCGCAAGAATTACAAAATATCTGAATGTTTCTCTTTTGGGGGGGTAGGGGTTTTTCTATAAAAAATATCATCAAAAACAACGAGGAAACTAAGACAAAACTAGGGTTCAAATCCGATGACAAAATCAATCAGCGTCCCCCCCCGCCCTATATTTGGGGCGTTAGGCCCTATATAACCCCTACCAAAACAAGAAGCACATCTGAACGACCGAACCGATGTGAATAGCCTTGTATCAGGAACTTGACACGATGGGAAGTCACGTTGTCACGGGAGACTATACAGTAATAAAAATATGCTCTGAATGAAAAGTGAAAAGAAAATGTGAAATTCCAATATGCTTTTCTAACCGTTTTGAAGTTCTTTTACCCCGTGCTCGCGTTGTCCTTTATGTTTTACAATATATTTATAAAAACTAGTTATAAAACGGTCATACGGTTGGTTGGGGACTCGACAACCATACAGAATTAGATATTCTAAATTTCAATTCGAGGACTTTAGAACTACAGATATCAGATATAAATGTACTATTTTAAAATGCAGTAAAATATTTATTAAAAAAACCCCCCTATTATTTGCTATTGTTTTTCTACAAATAGAATTCGACTGCTGTGAGCTACCTGTCAAATGTCAACTGTCTATTGGCAAGTGTCAACTCTCTTGCTGTGTCTCGATGTTTAAAAAAAAAAGAGCAGCACATACTACATAGTATTGTATAGTATTTCGAAGTGTCAACTGTCACCTGACCTGTTTTGCAAAAGTTCGCACAGATGCACAAAGTCTCACACACACCGTCGGCGTCACACGTCTACAAGACTCACGAGAATAATGTATTTGTATTTTTTCTTTTTCTTTTTGAAAAAGAAACCATTTGTCGGAGTTTGATTTTTGAATGTGGATTGTGCCTTCGCCCGTAGTGCCTTCACTCTCGAGTCTTGTGGTATTTATCTATCTGTAATTCTGTATAGTTATGGACACTTTGACTCCCCTGTCTGCTCAGTGCTCAACTGCTCGCTCTCTGGCCTCTCTGGAGTGACGGAGTCTGCTGAGGCCTGATAGCCTGAGACTTGTTAATAGTTGTTGAGTTAAGAACTGGCTGCTGATTCGCTGACTGATGACTCGATAGTCGATAAATGTTAATTGCAGGCACCAGACACATCACCAATTCACCATCACATGTGTCAGGGTGTGCCTGAACTCTGACTGTATATTGGACTTAAGTCTATTTCTCTAATTTTAGGGGTGCGAAAGCAAATTATCGCTTTCTATTTGTAACGAGAAAGAGACGGATATATTATTGGCTACAAAGTTTTACCAAGTGATGATCATCACATGAAAATGAGACCCTGCGATGGAACATTCGAAATTTCGAATAGAGATAGTCCATGGACCATGAGGAATGCCCTGAAGGAGGGGCGGACTGCGGACTGGCGGAGTGTTTACAGCAAATAATACTTTCACTCTGTCAGCCTGTCAGGGGCCTCCGTTCTCAAGGCTGACAGACAGTGGCAGTCCGTGAGTCACAAAATCACACGCCCGACTGCTGACGCCTCACCCAGTCAACCAGTCAGTCCTCCTTCCTCACCCCCCCCCCCCCAAAATAAAAACTCTAAATATTATACCAAAAAAAGAAAAATGTTGCGGCACAGAAACATATATATTTACATAGATATTCTACTTTTCTCTTTCTATATAAATTAGCGACAAGAGACAGTTAATTTCATTACAACTACAGGAAATAAAAATAGAATTCAAGTGTTCGTACATATAACCCTTAGAACAGTCACCATGACCGCGATCGCTACCTTACAACACGCCGCAGTGAATAGAAGAGATCTTACGAAATCAATAACTCAATCAGAGCTAAATCTTTTTAAATCACCGAGACGCTTTGTTAACGAAAAGCCTCTCCAAGAGGGATCTACCGCTGTGGTTTCTAAGGCGTACGACACCAAATACTGTCAAGATGTTGCGCTAAAGCGTATGGATATGGATAGATTTACTAACCAAAGAGTCAAAGAATATATTGTTGGTAAAGCCATCGGCGATCATCCCAACGTAGTTACCACATACGAAAAGCTATACAACCACAGAACCCGTGAAGTCTGTTTGGTTATGGAATGCTGTGACGGTGGTGATCTTGTAGATATTCTTGCTAGCCGAGACCAAGGATTTGATCGGGATGAGTTCATAAGCCTCGCTGAGCAGTTGGCTGGGGGGCTCTCACATATCCACAGTAAAGGTATTGCTCATCGAGACATAAAGTCAGACAACATATCCTTAAGCACTGAAGATGGACAGGCTAAAATACTCGACTTTGGAGAGAGTCAATTTATAACTGAACCAGCTAACAATCTCAAGAGTGGAACTCTTCCGTATATGGCACCCGAATTAGTAACGGCTATCGAAAGGCGTATAAATAGCCCAGACAGTGTGGACAGAGTACCCTTGGATTTACTGAAGACGGATGTTTGGGCAATGGGGATCACATTCTATTCTATGATCACGTCACAGATACCCTTCGCCGTTGCGAGTCAGCGGGATTCCGGATTTAGAAATTACTTGCGTGAAAATATACTTGGATCATATGAAGTATGGGCAGCTGTCGATGACAATATTAGGATGTTGTTAGAGAATATGTGTGAATTAGACCCTGTCTTACGATGGACTATGGACGAGGTAGTTGAATACCTCTCTCAGTTGCAATGAACTCCCAATGTTCTTGATACATAATATTCTTCGCAACTACAACGAAGCCAACTTAGTAAAAATTAGAGAATCTTCAGCAATCAAATAAATATTCATACGAATCAAAATGTTACAGTATCAAACGTATTCATATATACATATATATGCATACAAATACTTATAGACATAATATTTATATATGTCAATAGATATATATATATATATGTATATATATATATGTGTGTGTATATGTGTGTATACGTATATCTACACATAAAAATGAAAATATAAACATGTATATGTATGTATATATATATATATATATATATGAATATAAATATACCATGCAT